TGCTTGGCAGATCTTGCAAACCACTTTGGTTTTGTCCAGCTCTTTGTCCTTTGTTGTTTAAAATCCGAAATGGTTCCAGACGTCAGACTTTAGTTGGGACAGCTTGCTGAGCGGTGTTTTACCTGTGTCAGTCACTTTGTGTTTGCACGCTTGTGCGCTTGAACGTCAATCTGACCTAAACGCGCTGCTGTGTCATCACGCACAACACTACTGGGGTTAACTTCATGGGAAAAAAAAAAAAAAACCTTCATGGGGAAAACTCGATCTCACGCCCTATGAATCGGTATTGCAAAATTTTAATGAAACCGATCCAAAATCAATTTTTTTACCCAGCCCTAACCTTGAGAGTAATCATCAATTAGTTTGCCAACCCCTGGCAACGAGCCAAAAAAGTCTGTTGTTCATAGTTCACCCGTTACCTCTACTGAATTTTATTATTCTGCAACTCCATTCTCTACACCATAGACCCACCATCAAACCTCCTGGCTCCCAGGCTGACTATGCCCTAAAGCCAACAGCAGTGCACTGGCTGGGCTACTGGAGGTAACTCCCGACGGTTCGGATAATCACTAAGCTAGGCTGTTAGACAAGAGGCATTGCTTGGTTTTTATTTTTGTTGCCGAACTATTGTATTGAATCTCAATCTCAGTATTAGTGTTTACTTGTTGTGATCCTGAAGAGGAGTTTTGTGTGAAATTAGGACTCATTCATGGGTGGTTGAGCCATAAATTTTGTTTTGTGTTTCTTCCTGTCTGCTGGGGCATTTTGAAATACCTGGTTGTTAGTGACTGTTAAGGGACCATGTACTAAAAGACATGGGTCCTTTTAAAGTATTTTACATAATGTGCTGAGTGACAGTCACAGCCTGGGCAGAAGCCGTTCTTACAGCTGGTGGTATGGTACTAGAGACGTCTTACTAGGGCCCCACAATAATGTTTAACAATTAAATTGAAATTATTTTGACAGATATGCGATATGATTCACAATTACCAGGAATTATCATTTTTGCATCATAATTTCAATTTATACTGAAACAAATGTTTATCACGATGATGTGACATTTGCTGGGGTCTGTACCAAACAAACATGTTTTCTTACATTTAGAGAACAAGATTTGTAGGACAGGGCATGCAATTGTTTAATTAATTATTAACACAGCATAATATCACAAGTCTCATCGTTCAAAACACGGAATAAATAACTTTCAACTTTAAAAAAATAAATACTGGCTGACTTATTGAAACAATGGATGATATATAACGTTAACAGTTTCTTGCAAATTAACTCACTACAAACACGCTCGTCTTCCTCGTAATGCGCTCGTAATGACTCTGAGTCATCAAATGGAGAGCCCAGAGTCATAATAGTCCTGTTCGTAGCCGCTAATCAGCTAGCCACTCTTGGTCCGCCCAAAACATTTCGGTACCACTTGTTAGCACTTCTCTCCGATGGGACCCCCACTCTTATGCTAGTAACTCCCCCTGTCCCCCTTGACAGACATCTAACAATGTACAATCAGTTTGAACCTAGATATGTTTTTTAAAAGCAAATCACCAAAATCATTATTACTGGGTTGGACTATGACTTTACAATCATTGTGTGTGTGTGTGTGTGTGTGTATGTATATGTGTGTGTCAGTCAGCTCTGGGTTTCCCTCTTTAGAGAACTTGCGTCATGTCACTAAAGCAACTGTGCTTGCATGATGTAATGACATGCAACAGACACACACACACACCCACACTCACAGCTGTCTGCCCAGCTGCTATGCAGTCTATCAATGGGTATATATTTATATGTCAGTCTGTGGCTGCATCATCTCCTCAGACTGATTTTAAGGGATAATATTTCCTATTTGGGTAAATATTATCATAAAATTATTTGCACTGATGTGGTCATTCCAATACAGTTGACATTGAATAAAGCCTACCTGTTCCCTCTAATAATATTTTCACCTAGAAACATAAACAGGGTTTTACATAACAATCAGCCTGCGCAGAAGAATGAAATTACCACAATAAATGTTAAATGGACAGCATTTATACAGCACCTTTCTAGTCTTCTGACATCTCAAAGCACTTTACACAACAGGTCATTCACCCATTCAGACACACATTCCTAATGCTCATTTACACCAATGACACAACCTTTAGGAGCAATTTGGAGTTCAGTATCTTGCCAAAGGACATTTCAACATGGGATGAACCACCTATCTACCGATTATTGGACGACCCACTCTACCTCTGAGCCACAGCCACCTCGTATTCCCAGGCGGTGACTTTAAGCCAAAGCACCTGTGATGATACAGGTTTGCAATGCGTGTGAGTTACTTAGCGGGGCAGCTGTAGCTTAGGAGGTAGAGAGGGTCATCCACTAATCAGAAGGTTGGCGGTTCAATGCCAGGCTCATACTGCTGCACAATTAGAAGTGTAACATGTAGAACCATGATTTGAAATGATAATTAACCATTATGTATTTGTCAATTAAGGCCTGTGCCAGTTAGCTAAATCCATCACCAAACACAGTTTCAAACAATCATTTTGGCAATTTGAGAGTTGTGTTTTGTGAACTATCCCAGCACCTGTGTTCCTGCTGCAGCTGTATATTTCATTCACTACAGGTGTTTTCCTCGTTTATTCTGGTCAGTGTTTACATCCCACCTCAGGCCAGTGTTTGTGAGCCATTACTACACCTGGCTGGCCAGATAACAAACTATGAGAAAAAACATCCATGCTCATTGTTCTTAGGGACTTTAATTCAATTCAATTTTCAATT